AACGATATTGGTAAGCTTCGCCCCTGAAAGCAAACCTCAGGAACTTCCTGTGTTGAGGAAGAATGGAGACATGGAAGTATGCAACTTTAAGATCGATAGTGACAAACCAGTCCTCGGACCTGATCTGAGACACCACTTGCTTGTGAGTGTGAGCATCGTGAACTTTAGCCGCATGACTGAACGGTACAACTGACGCAGATCTAAAATGGGACGCAACCCCCCATCCTTCTTCAGAACAATGAAGTACCGGCTGTAGAACCCGGACTCTCTCTCAAGAGGAGGTGGGCGTTCTATGGCCTCCTTCCTCAGGAGAGTGTCTACTTCCGGTTCCATTACCAGAGCCTGCTCAGGGGCCAACCAGAGTGGGAATGACCCTGTGGAATCGAGGCGGACGAGAACCAAATTCGATTCTGTAGCCTCATTCTACAGTCAGCAGGACCCATTGAGACACGTTTGGCAGAAGTTTCCACGCTGCCAGATGGTCAACTAAGGAAATCAGTCTCTCAAGACTGACCTCTGGTGTACTTTGAGCAGTCAACTCGGTGCCCTGAAGCAGATGACCGGCAGGGAACGACCGAGCTGGCTGCTCTAATAACCTCCTTGGAGGATGCGAGCCTCCCAGAACTGCTATGTTTCTGGGTGGACACTGAGACCTGTGCTCGCTGAAGACTGCTGTTCCCTGAAGCACCAAGGGTGGCAGGGTTTAAAGACCGATCTCCTGAGGGCACTGAGGAGAGGCAGGCACTGTATGATGAGATGTACACCACTCTTCCCCAGAGGGGCCTGACCTCAGAAGTCCAGCGCTACAAGCATCAGGACCTCTTGGCCGAAGCCTTCTTGGCGAGAATGACGGTCCTCAGATCCGTCTTCTTCCGCTGGAACCACTGGAACGCCGCCGACTACTTCTTGGCCTCCTGAAACCTGTCGATGACAGAATTAACTGCGTCACCGAACAGACAGGGTGTCCAGCAGGAAGAACCTGTCTTTTGGTGGCCCAGAGAGACAAGTCTGCAGCCCAATGCAGTTCTTTAATGTCGTTGACCTTCACCTCCTCACCCTTATAAGGGTCCTTGAGCAGGTCGGTTTATGAAGCCTGCAACAATGCCATGGTGTACAGGCAAGCGCCAGCCTGACCTGCCGCCGTATACGCTTTACCCACCAAAGCAGAAGATGTTCTAAGAGGCTTGCTGGGTAATGCTAGGGCCTTGAGGGTCTATGCTGACTCGGGAGACAGATAGCTTGCAAGTGTCTGCTCTACCTGAGCATGCTTCCGATCCCTGAGAGAGAGCACTTGACCAGATCCACTTGCGATCCCCACGACCGCAGCCACTACTCTGCCTCGGCAGACACGGGACCCGAGCCATGATGAATGCTCACCAGGGTGCCCTCCTCAATGAGTGCTTGGTGGGAGCAGAGCGTACGCAGCAAAAGCTGCTCACAATGCGGACAGTCAGCCCCCTCAAGAGCAGACTGAGCGTGCTTCGCTCCCAGACAAGCAGCGCAAAGATCGTGTGTGTCCCCACCTGTAATGAAGTGCAGGCAGGGAGGAGCACACAATCTAAAATGCTGCTTGTCACTCTTTTTAACACTCTCCATAAATATGTGCGCTGGCACAATACATACACACACATTCTCAAGACAGACAGAGACACATAGCGCTTACTGAAGAAGAAGAAGCAGAAGCTGACACTGCTTCCACCGCACGTGCTTTTAAGCTTCTTGGTTGCTACGTCATGCCATTCCATTGGACTGATTTCACACATGCTTCAGAGCGTGGTCACGTGGAGGCCTTTCCAAAGCGTCCCGACGCAGCGTGACTTCCTGAAGGGGAACAGTTGTGCTCAGTTGATATTTTTGTGTAAAAGTTGTACATTGTTTCTATTTGAAAATAAAAATTAATTTAAAACAGAATGAATTAAAAAAAAACATAAATTCAGTTCACATATCTTTTGAATTATATTCTAAATTAGTTGAAAGTATATTCAATTATATAAAAGCCTTTGGAACACATTCCAAGATTTTCATATATGGGCAAAATATTCCAAAATATATGTGCTACTATAAAAAAACAGAATGTTGTACGTATTTTCACTACACGTGACCATATTTGATCTTCCAGATCTCCCTCCTGCAGCCCATCACCTGTGAGGAAGAAGAAGAAAAAAAAGAGCTCAAAGAAAAGGAAGCGACATAGGTAGTGATTGATTTTCACATCAGATCATGTTTACAGGTTTGCTTTGGGTACACTATGCTGGTGTGGTGTGGTTGTTTTGTCATGACTGCCTTTAAAGTAATCTCCTCTCTGCCTCCAGGTCTGCCTCAAGGAAGGGACGACACAGGTCAATTTTATATTTATTTAATGTTTTTCCTAGAATAAAGGGCACAGTGCTTTTCACAAAGTACAGATAATACCTGATGATTATTGTTAAGTGCTCTTAAGTAGTTTATGGCTCCCCAGAGGAAGATTTTATTGCCCAGAGTTCCTCTTTCATAGCTAAGGAGATTGAATGGAGAGCTCAGTTATGTATCGTTTAAGTATCCACTTTGTCTCAGATGTTTCTCCTAAAATTTGTTAAGAGATTAAAAAAAGCACAATTATTGACATACTGTAAGAATATAGGGATCTATACTTACCATATAGATTACACACAGAATCCATTTAATCTTATTGTTTTCTAGCAGAAACAGCAAAGAGATCTCATCTGTGAATTTTCTTTCCTATGAGACCTTTAATTTAATCCTAATCAATAGTTTTACTCCTATTTTTACAGTGGCTCGAGTCCCAGACATAAAAGAAAGGAGGACAAAAAGCATAAAAAGAGGTTGGTGATTTCAAAATGTGCCTTAATAATTTAAAACCCATCAGCTTACACTTCAGTTGAAAGTATTCAAGCACTGACAGTTTGAGCTGTATTCATGTTCCTCTGTGGTTTATCCTTTAGTGTCAAAAGCTTAATGCATTCTACAGTATAAGTCACCTACATGACCTCTCATGCACAAGAGTCACATATTCTAGATTAGATTATGGAGTATTGACAGCCGCACTGTAGTGCACCTCAGCTCCTTTCAGAGAGTGCTGTTATTGGCTGCTATTGTCGTGTGGTCTCTCAAACTGAAGGAGGGCCAGTGCAGTCTGAGAGCAGCTCCTCACTGAAGCAGGCAAGCAGCCAGAGAGAGAAACATGAACCAATTTCACGGCACTAGTCTGCTACACACACAGCCAGAGAAGAAGTGCCTCGCTGGGCTTCTGATCCTCAAAACGTTGAGGTTTTGTGAGTGTGTTAAATCAGTCGATCTCAAGTGTTTTTGCTTCACAACCCAGGACTCTAAATTCTTTGTCCTTTGCAACTGAATTGCACTTGCACTGAAAATGTTTACATAAGCTTTAATTCATCTCCGTCTTTACTTGATTTATTTTTACATTTTATGATATACTGATGCTGAGGACGATTTAGGAAATAGTCAGGACATGAGAATGTTAACGGCACAAATGGGTTTATTCCATCTGATTTTTTTTTTCCTGATGTGTTAAATGATAAGTTGATTTGGTGTTGCTTCATTTATTAATTTTTTTTGGAAACCGTCAGTAATGCCATGAAAACATATAGTCTATATATATTTAACAAAAAAAAATAGTACTCAAAAAACATATATTAATTTTTATCTCTTACTGGAATGTACTAGCTATAAAAGCTGCTGTTCAAATGAAGTTCCTTAACGTAAGTTAGGGAGGAGCGAGCCCATCTAATCTTTCAATCAACAGCCAGAGTATATAAGCAGCTGCTTACCTCTCTCCAGTCTCAGCTGTTCCAGCATCCCTCCACCTCCCCAAATATCCACCTTCATCTTAGGTACCTTGCCCTTTGTAATCATCCTATATCAAGTCCCTGGGTGGTATATCAGAGCTCGAGCTGAAGCTGCTTCATCGAGCCCCTCATCAGTGGACAGCAAGCCAAATAAGTTTACACACAATTTCCTTAAGATTATATGGGCAAACTAACTTGTTAAAGTGTATTAATTAATCTCAATCTATTAAACATGGTCTGCTCTTTCTTAATGTATAGTTTGTTGGGCAGCTAAATTCAATTTTAAACTTTAATTGAAATCATTCAGCAATCTGATGTGAATCTGCACTCAACTGCTGAACGTGTGACTAAACTGTCTCCATTTCAGACTCAATTAACACTGTTTTACATGTGCCCCCTTAAATTATAACACTTCAGAGACATTCACACAAAAAGTCCTAACTCTTGCTAGGTGTCACGATGTGGCTATATGAGGCACACAGCGAAGGGGAAATCCAAAGGTGAGTTTTTATTAACAATCCAAGAGGGTAACACTGACGAACATAGGATAAAAACTCCACAACGTAACTTTAACCCAAGACAAGGGTACTGAGGAAAACACTGGGCTTATAAACACATGGAACGTAATCAGGGAGAACAGAAACAGGTGAGGAGTGAGGAGTAATCAATCAAAACATGTGAACAGAATAAACAATGATTAACTAAATGAGAACATGAACTGAACCAATTAGGGGCAAACAGGAACTAAACAGAAACGAACATGTGACAGATATCGACCCCTCCGAAAGGTGCGACCACGCGCCACATAACATCGAGGGGTGGGAGGGTGGGCACCCTGGAGGTCCCTCAGGACAGGCTTGGT